ACATCAAACCTCCACACTCGTATTTGTTTGATATTGTCCACTTTGAACCTAAGCTCTCATGGGTTTCCTCTTGATTTTCCTAAAAGATATCATACTAATAGAGATAGTGTTCCTCACTTATATACTCATGATCTTCCTCTTAGTTAGCTAACGTGACACTCCAACAATCCTTAACATTCTCTTCTCACCACCTTATAACATCCAAGGAATTGTTTTAAGCTAAGCACGCCTAACTTTAAAGTCTCTAAAATTGAGTTATCGACAAAGAAGCGTATTATATTTATATAAGTAATAATTTTCAATCCTCCTAAGTACTTCTTGAGCATCAAAACTAAAATTCTCAAAAAGAAAAAAACTTATAAGATAAAGCAAGGAAAAGGAGATTTTGGTTTAGCTTTTGTAGGGCATGGGAGGAAAAGAAGAGTAAAAAGAAGAAGGCATGAGGCATTGGTGGGGTTTAAATTGCGTTGCTTTTATGGGAACCAATTCAATTCCAAAGCAAAGGAAAGCAATGCTTAGATAAATGAAGAGGGTAAGAGGCAAAATTAAAGCAGTTTTAAGGGGGTTTGTTCCCAGATCCCAAAAGTACAATTGTTGTAGTTAAAAAGCAGAGCAAAATGGTACCAATAAGGGAGCCAAATACGGCATGCATGTATTGTATTCAAAATATGAAGAAACCCTGATGGGTGTCAGTGCATGTGGATGAATAACATAAATATTTTGCACATTAAAATATAAGAGGTTTTAGGGTTTAGGGTTAAGGGCAGCCGGCCTAAAGTTGTGGGTGATTGCAACGAGGGTTTAGGGTTTGAGAGAGAGAGAAAAGGGAGGGCATTTATATGAATGGTCCATCTTCACTGCTGCAGCTTTATTTGCACGCAATCACACAAAAACTTAGCGGTATATCAAATTCCAAGGCTCACGTTTAGTACTCATACTGCCTGTGTGCAGCGGCTTTGGATTCATCTTAAATTTTTACTACTTTTATCACTCTCTTTGTATATTCAGATGTTTGACGTTTTTTATGTGTCGGTTTGTGCTATTTAGTGCTGGTACCTGGAACCTGAATGCTTCCCTTACACCTTCACTTGGACATGTTAATATAACTAACAATTCATTCTCTAAAACTCATTTGGAGTCTAGAGCTTCATTGAAAAGCGTTGGTTAATTGAGAAAAATAGAGGCGACGAGGTGCAACATGTTGTAGGCGGTTGCGTGGGGCTGCTATTGGCGTTGCCAATCTCAAGTGAGGGTTTTCTAAGGATAGACTGAGTAGGTGGAAAGGATATAACTGAAATGAATGAGAATTTGTCCACTCTGGTCCATTACTTATAAGATCTCACAACTCATGTAAGATTTCACAATTTACTTCTTGAGGGCTCACTGGCCTCACTCACTGACACACCACTCGATATCTGACTCTGATATTATTTGTAACCATCTAAGTTCATTACTAGTAAATAGTTTTTAATTTGACTCATCGGTCTCACAATTTTAAAATGCGTCTGCGTTGGAGTGATTTTCACTCTTATAAGAAATGTTTCGTTTCTCTTTCAAACTGATGTGAAATTTCACAGAGAATCTGATGGTTCACTTGAACTCTTGACCTTTCACAGAGTGAACCAATGGACATTTGTATGATTTTGTCAATGATTCAAGTCCATTATTGATTTTTTTTCAAGTCTTTTCCAATAATTAAACAAAATATAGAATGGTGAGAAGTTAGGGGGTCCATTGCCCATGTGTGGAAAATCATCATAACTCATAAAATCATTGAAATTTAAAATATTAGCAACCAAAATAACAAGTAATAACCAAGAACTCAAAAAAGTGAGTGAAATTAAATGGTGTGGATAATGCAGGAGAAGGTAGTTAAAGCGCACATAAGTGTTAATTAATATAAAGAGAACTTAATTACTTTGGGGTTGTAATCGTGCAATTTGATAACAATTATCTTATGTTCGGCTTTAAATAATGTGAACAGTACATTCAACTTTTCCCATTGAATTAAACTTAATAATTGATATTATTTCAATTATATTATTAGATTTAGTTTCAATGGTTGCAATCTGTGAAGGGTAAGAGTTGGAAGAAGCCAAGGGTGAATTGGAACTTCTAGTTATAGATGATGGTGTCACGATTTACACGTTTAGAATTCAGGTCAAGATTTGGAATTTGTATATGTAATAGGGTAACGACTCATGCCGAGGATTTAGAATCTTAATTTGACATATGATAGTTTTGATATTTCCTTTCATCATTCTCATCACTCGAGACATGATTAGCTAACTTACTCATAGCTTTTAAGAGGAAATTCTATTCTCATAGATCAATACATGTCATTTCAACATACTTTATTTTCACTCACATGTTTTTTTAAGAAGAATTTCGGGAGATCATCTAATATAGAAATGCTCCAAGTAAAACACGCTTAATTTTGGAGATCTTAAGATTGAACTATCGAAAAAGGAAGATGCAGTTTGTTGATTGCTCCCATTCAGACTCACTTCTAAGAAAGAAAGAAACTCGTGTAGCTCTTATGATAGCCATATACGATCTGAAGATAAACCTTTTGTAGTGTTGTAAGGAAGTGATGGTCCATAAAATGAAATGGAGAAAAAAGGTATAAAAGAAGGGACGTTATTCTTTTGTTATATGGAAGGACATGGACTTGTGGGCCAAAAGCTTTGAAAACAACATCTCATGAGGAATGGTTTCAAACGCAGGCATAACACCCATTAGGAAACTACACAAAACAGTCCTCATACTGCCCACCAAAGAGTACCATAAACTTATGAGCTCATCAAACCCCTCTTTGAAAAATATGAACTTCCACATGATCTTAATTGTTTTCCTGTTTTAGTGATAAAATTTATGCAACTCGACACAAAGTGGTGAAACAGATCTTGAATCATTGAGCTTTTGAGTATGCAAAACCTTACTCTCCATTATATCTTCATAGACAGTGCAAGTTGAGCATGTTAAGAAAGTTAGCCAAATGGAAATAGGCTTTGGTGCGGTAGAGCATGATGGGGTAGCGCTGTTTTTGCAGGTTGAGGCGCATGAACAAGAATCGACTTTGAAACACACTGCCTTGACATGTGCTGGAACGCAACAGGACGCAAATTGGCTCATATATAGAGCAATGAGCTCCTAGTGGTTGCAAACTCAGGGAGAGCGTGGGAAGCTTGAACAAAGGTGACATTTTTTTGTACTTTTATTTGTTGGGTTTCTAGTAATTATTGGCTCTCATTCACTAATAAGCTAAGCTCCAAGTAGTTAACCTTCCATGTGTTTATGCAGTAGAAATTAGTGCATAAAAGTTATCAAACGAATAAATGTTGGTGGAACAACAAATCTTAACAATGATATGATATTATTTATTTTGATTACATAAGCTCTTGTGACTTTGTTAATATAAGTGATGTAGGGTTATCATTAGCTTGTACAATACGATGATAGGATAAATCTTGTAATGAACACAACTCTCGTGTTTTGTTGCGAACTATTCATAAGTCTTTTGGTACCCTCAAATGCTTCAGGTTTATTACATGTATCTATTTAATCGTGTATTTTGGATCTGACATATTTGATTTCTACCTCATTGAGTACTTAACAGCTTTTGAAGGTACACTAACTTAACCCTCGATCAAAACAATAACTCACTCCTCAAAGTATGAATGAGATCGTGAAAAGTAGTTCGTCCAACTCCACTTACTCTCATTACCATATTTTCTTTTTTGAAACCTACATTTCTCATTCATTAGAGACCCGCATCATTTAGTTTGATTTAACTGCTCATGCCCACTACTAGCAGATATTGTTTTATTTGAGCTTTCTCTTATGGGCTTCTCTCAAAGTTTTTAAAACGCGTCTGTTAAAGAGAAGTTTTCACACTCTTATAAAGAATGATTCGTTCCGCTTCCAACCGATGTGGGATCTCAAACTTACAAACTAATGTTTCTTTACTACACTAACAAATTTCATGTTTGTCTTAATTACAATATATGGTACTTTTTTCTTTAAAAAAACCTTCCTAGATTAAACAACGATCTTACAAAACAATTACAAAACGTTATTATTAAGATACATATTCTCGATAAGAAAAAATTTGAAATTGAAATTGAAATTCACATGAAAGTTGAAAAAATGGTCTAAAAAGACAGGACAATGTACTAAGAAAGATGAACAAGTAATAATTAGTGTTTTGAAGAAACATTAGAAAAGCTCATGACTTGGTAACAATAGTTGATGATAGCTACTCTATTTTGTTGATGTTAGGGTGTGATAAAAGACGTACTTACCAAATACAAACCCCATTTGACTTTTGGAGAGAGAGGGAGAGAGAGGGAGAGAGAGCCAAGAGTGCGAAGAGCAAGGCATTGGAGCAGAGCCCATCGATTCGAACAGTCCACATCCTTAGGCTGCCAAACAAAAGCTAACCCCTTTCTCTCTCTCTCTCTCTCTTTCCACTTACACTCCCTCACTCTACGCTGATTTTAGGTTCTCCTCTCTTTGCACACTACAATAACACACTTCAAACTCTCCCTCTCCTATTTCTTCTCTCCCTTCAATTCCATTAGTTTAACGGTTTAAGTTTACCGCTAATACATATTGTCTTCTTTACATTTTGATTTTCGAGTTTTCCCTTAAGATTTTTAAAACGTCTATGTTAGAGAGAGCTTTTTATACTTTTATAAAAGGTGTTTCGTTCTCTTTAACAATCAACGTAGGATCTCACAATTATCTTCATCCCACTTCCCCCACCACAAATACACCAACAACGCTCTCTTTCTACCTTTTTTTTACACTTTTTTCCATTCATTTATTAGTTTGTGTTTGGTTTGATTTGGTTATTACTTATTACATGCTTTTATTTAGCATGCCTTTTGGTGCCCTCTCTATCTCTCTCATCGCATTAATAATGAATATTTCTAGGACTTGGCCAAAATATAGCAAAAATAGAAGTCTCCTTCTCCCTCAACTCCAACGCTGCTGCTACTTCTTCTTCTTCTTCTTCTCTAAACACTATATTTTTTTCTCTTTTCCTTTTGGCCCCATAATTTCTAGACTATGCCTGAAAACACTGAAACTTCTCACCAACACGACTATGATTCCCCTTCTCCTAAACACCCACTAGATGATTCTTTAGAAACAAGGCCTCCAAACGGCGGCGGCGGCGGCCACCTGCATCGCCGCCACTTTCACCACCATGACTCTTCCACTCCTTTTATCTCTACGCCTCTCTATCTTCCCACTGGAACTGGAAATACTCCGCCGTTCGAGGCTGTGAACCCAAAGCGGACAAGATACTCGGCGGGCCAATGGAAGCTTGTGCCATCTCCATCATCATCTCAGCCGCAAATAGCCGTTGTAGGCAGTGACTCCAGTCCCTCGCCGTCACAACGTCCGGCCGGAACCGCCGCTGCGTCGTCGTCGGATACAACATCATCTCCTTCTCATTCCCCTTTGCCGTTGACGACGGGGAATAAAGGAGAAGGGGAATCTCAAAATCAGCCACAATACAGAAAGGGGAAGTATGTTAGCCCAGTCTGGAAACCTAATGAGATGTTGTGGTTAGCTAGGGCTTGGAGGGTCCAATATCAAGGTCGCACAAAACAACTGTTAAATTAGGTTCTTTTTTTTAAAAAAATTTCTATCCAATTCATCTCAAGTTTCCAACTTTTTCAATTTTTATCAAGATTCAACACATGGGTCATCAAAAGTTTTCATTTTTATGAAGATTCAACACATGGGTCATCCAAAGTTTCAAACTTTTTCAATTTTTATGAAGATTCAACACGGGTCATCAACGTTTCTTCCAATAATCAAATTTTGATTGCCATTTTTGCAGGTGGATCGGATGAGGGTGGCATTATGGGAGGTCAAGGGGGAAGAGGAAGTGGGAAAACAAGGGCGGATAAAGATAGGGAAGTGGCTGAGTATCTCCAAAAACATGGTGTTAATAGAGATGCTAAAACGGCAGGGACAAAGTGGGACAACATGTTGGGTGAATTTAGAAAGGTTTATGAATGGGAAAGAGGAGGAGAGAGAGAGCAACTAATGGGAAAAAGCTACTTTCGTCTCTCACCTTATGAGCGTAAGCTCCATAGACTTCCAGCCTCTTTTGATGAACAAGTTTTTGAAGAGCTTTCTCAATTTATGGGTTCCAAAATGAGAACTAAACCTACCCCAATTCTTCCTCTAACTAGATCCCTCCCTCCACCCCCTCCCTTTACAGAAGAACACCTCCCAATTTTGAGTAAGTGATCCAATTGAGTGAATTTAGATGTTTAGTTGATGAACTACAATGAATTTAATCTTTTGTTCATATTCTTTATCGTGTAGGTCGAGAAAAACAAGTGTTTCGAGTCGATTATTCTTCGGTTGATTGTAGTAGTGTTCGTCGAATTGGGAAAGTAAGAATGGTATGGGAGGAATCAGTGAGTTTGTGGGGTGAAGAAGGAAGTGAAGAGCAGAGAGGAGGGAGGATTAGAGTTGAAGGATGTAGCTTTTTGAATGCTGAAGAGCTAACTTTCTTTGATGAATCAATGGTTGCTTGCACTATGGAATGTAATGACGATGGCCCTCTTAAGGGTCTCTCAGTTGATAGATTCGTTCCCGGACAGCAAATCAAAGTGTTTGGCAGAAGAAAATCCCCATTCTCCACTTCCACTGGTTCGCATCATAATCATTTTGTTCTTTGCTTTTTCATATCATCTCTCTAATTGATCTAACATTGGCTGATCGTGTTCATGTCAGTTCCTCATGAGAGACTCCCAATTCTTCTCTCCACCGAACTCTCCTCGAGACGTAAGTTCACCAACTTTCTACTCATTTTCAATATAAATATTGTAAGATCCCACGTTAGTTGGGAGGAGAACGAAACACTCTTTATAAGGGCGTGGAAACCTCTCTTTAGCAGACATATTTTAAAAACTTTGAAGAAAAAATAAAAAAAACGGTGGGCTTGAACTAGTTTAATCTATCGTTGATGTGGGTTTGGCAAGTATTTGGTAATTAGCTCAATACTTCATGGACGTGGACTATGGCTAACTTTAGGGGACTTAATCGGTTTTTGTTCAGCAAGTTCTTTGTGGAATTATCAAGATTCAACGGAATACTATGTCGGGTGTCTACGAATCCCGCCGCTATCTCTTCCGAGCTTATCGGAGCTTTCATGGCACATACAAGAACCGCCATCGGAAGAGCTTCGATTCCCAATTCGAAAGGATGTATATGCATACTTACCACAAGGGAAAGAGGTGTTCTTCACAACCACAACCGAAATGGTAGATTGCAAATCCTTCATTTACGAGATTTTATGTCCTATCATACGCACCAACCCTTGTATTAGCACTACAACACCCCCTTCAAGTCGAGACTCATTCATAGGCCTTTGGGATGATTGCATCAACCGCCTTGTTTCCGAGTTTTGTTGCATGGAAATGCAAATAATCCGCAAACCCAATTCACCTTCATCCACCAACATTGATAGTTTGCAAGATCAATGGCCAAATCTAACGGGATTCATCAGAAATTTTTGTTTATGGAGGGGTGAAGAAACTGATCAAATCAAAGATGGTCACCAAGATCTCGACCCCTCTAATTCAATAGTGGAGAAGCTACTTTGGACCTATTTAGACATCCCTTATTTATTAGGTTACTACACTATAGGGTTCTTGGTAACATTTTGTTCACTAAGTCGTGGTCGAGACAATCGAGTCGTCCGAACTGATCTATATTCGTTAGATTTATCAACACCTAGTGAGAGATTGAAGGCGTTGGTCCCATGTTATAGAATTGGTGGTGTTTTATCATTGTTAGCCGATCAATGCAACAAATTGCCAATTTATAGTGATTTTGAGAGAATTGATATGGGAAATGGAATTGTGGTGGAAATGACACCAAATTTGGTGACCAAAATTTTCTCTTGTAGAAGGAAGTGGACGGCGGCGAAAGAGATTTATGATGTCTTGGATCAAAGAATCCCACATTCGGAATTCATCTTCGGAGCATCCGAAGAAGATTTGGCATTGGTTTTTAAGCCAAGGGTTTGCAGATTGAAGCCCACAAGCTATGATCAACTAATTGAGGCACTCAAAAACGTGACCAAAGCGCTTGTGGCATTGCACGATTTGTGTTTCATGCATAGAGATATTTGTTGGGAAAAGGTAATGAAAAAAACAAACGCCGATGAGACAGCCACCGGGGAGTGGATTCTTTGTGGGTTTGAAGAGGCGGTTGGAGCGCCGCAGATTTACCCGTACGGTGAAGCGACGGCAGCGAGTGGGAGGCACGCGCCGGAAATGGAAAGGGGTTTGCATGGGGTGAAAGTGGATATGTGGGGAGTGGGATTTTTGATTAAAACTTGTGGGTTAATTGGGATTCCGAAGATGTTGAATGAACTTCAAAACCGGTGTATGGATCAAAACCCTGAGCACCGGCCAACCGCCGCCGACTGTTACCACCACCTGCTGCAGCTTCAGTCGTCTCTGTCAACGTCAACCGGAGCAGCCGGTGGTGGGTTGATTTGACTGTAGAGATGAGAGTTTGTTAAAGAAAAAGCTTGAAACTTTTTTGTTTTTTTTTTTTTTTTTTT